CCTGGCTGGAAAATGAATAAACAATGACCTCCGATATAACATAACACAGGTCTATAAATTGGTAATGGCTATCAGTTCCTGCTTTTTATTAATCAGAAATTAGTTTCGCTGGTGCGTCTGCAGCCTGCAAAGTGCTGTAGGGCCAAGGCAGGGGATTTTAATTCAGGCATAAAACGGCCCGCTACTCGGCTCGATAACTTAAAGTGTCATTTATCACCGACTTTGCTTTTAAAAGATTCAAGCCTCTGAAATGTGTTGGTGCTCAGAGGTAATGATAATGTCCAAAGGGCAGGAAGGAATCGGATGTCACGCAGCAGAGATTTATTACTCATTCTTACAAACGTGAGCAGGTAGCCGACATGATTTGGTGTTAAGGGTTTTGCTCATCTCTCCCTCGGAAACTAACCGGAATCCCCGGTTTTCCTGTCCGGGTTCCCTTTTAGCCGGTATGGAAATGGAGAGTGTGGTGAAACGGTGCAGGTTCCCTGTTAAATCAGAATCAGAATAAGGTTTATTGCCAAGTAGGTTTTTAGACTTACAAGGAATTTGCCTTGGTGTTTGGTGCACAACCCAGCACTTCTAAGAGAAGCAAGGAAGGAAGTAAAATGTAGAAATAAAAATATAGAACAGAAATGATAAAACTGAAAAATACAATCTTTAAAAAAAACAGCAGGTTTCCGAGTCCCCCGGCCTTTCAGAATCAGAATAAGATTTATTGCCAAGTAGATTTTTAGACTTATAAGGAATTTGCCTTGGTGTTAGGTGCACAACACAACACTTTTATGAGAAGCAAGAAATAAGATGTAGAAATAAAAATATAGGACAGAAAAGATACAACTGAAAAATACAATCTTTAAAAATATAGATCCGAATGTACAAATGAACAATCTTTAAAAACATAGATCCGAATGTACAAAAGAACAATTGAAATGTGCAACGACAGACCAGAAAATGCTGACAGTAGCATTGGGTAAATTAGTGAGGTACGGGGGGGGGGAGAAGAATAGGTGGGGGTCGCTGGCATTTAAATAATTTCCCTCTGGGATTATTAAAGTATTTATTATTCTGATTGATGAGGCCAGTTGCTGCTGGATAGAAACTGTCTTTATGGCGTGAGGTTTTGGTCCTGATGGTCCTCAACCTTTTGCCAGAGGGGAGAGTTTAAAAAAGTTTCAGTTTTTCTGCCCCCCCCAGCAGCTGTGGGCTCCCACGGCCCCGGTGGGTGTTGCCATGACGTCAGCCGGCGGGGCTTTATTAGCTCTGCGGCGGTAGCCGCGCGAACGCTTGTTGTCATCACTCCGGGGTGTTTCCTCCAGCTGAGGCTCGTAAAACACGCGGGCCCTTGATGTGGGCCGCGTCTGACGGCCATGACACCCGCAAACGGGCCCAGATGTGGCTGCTCGCACAGCTGGGCGGTTGCCGGGACGATGGGCCGCCCGGTCTGTTGGTGGGTTAAATAAGAATGGAGAGAAGCTCAAGAATATGAAAGGATGTTGTTCAATCTATCTATCTATCTATCTATCTATCTATCTATCTATCTATCTATC